ATAATTAATATTTTTCTTTCAGATCCCTAGCTTGTTGACAATTTTATGTTTTTTTCAGTCATTAATATTCAGAATTGTCTTTAGGTTTAGGAATGTACGAAACACCCCTGTTCCTAGCTCATGAAGAGGAGTCAGGTGGCCGAAGTGTTCCCACTACTCCACTACAAGTAGCAGCCCCAGGTAGGGATCAAAGGCAGATAATAGGTTCTGTTTTATTGGTAAAATGAAAACCTATGAAATATATTCTGGCTAAAAATTTGATAAACGACAAAGTTTAAAAGTTCTTTTACTTGTCTTTTCTTTTTAAAGTGACTGTATTTACTGAGAGCACCACCTCTGATGCTTCAGAACATGCCTCTCAATCTGTTCCAATGGTGACTACATCCACTGGCACTTTATCTACAACAAATGAAACAGCAACAGGTGATGATGGAGATGAAGTATTTGTGGAGGCAGAATCTGAAGGGTAAAAGTTTATTTTGTTGTTTTTGCTTGCTTTAGTCTTAGCAGACTTTTACATTTGTTTTCCTTTAGCCAAGAAACAATCAGCTAAGCCGTTTTCTTTTTCTTTTTTTTTTTTTTTTGAGACGGACTCTCACTCTGTCACCCAGGCTGGAGTGCAGTGGCGTGATCTCGGCTCACTGCAGCCTCCACCTCCCAGGTTCAAGCAGTTCTCTGCCTCAGCCTCCCAAGTAGCTGGGATTACAGGCGCCCGACACCACACCTGGCTAATTTTTGTAGTCATTTTATACTGAAGTTTTCAAATGACTTAAACTGGAGCAGATTCATGTTATTCTTGTACTATCTCCCTCATTTGTGTCTTGAATGGAAGAGAGAAAGATGGATGTAGCCACTGAGCTAGGAATTTTACATACTCATAGCCTATCTCATCTGGGCTAGAGCCCATGGTTTAGTTACTGGCATACTATTTAATAGTGTGACTATTGTGAACTTTTTAGTACTGTGCTTTCCTAAAATGTTGTTTTGAGATTTATCAAAATCTGGACTATATATTTCTTATGAGTGTCAAGAATGTGAACATCCTTGTCAAAAGGAAAAAGGAAACAGAAGAAGAGGAAAATCATAAACTAAAATTGGAACATGTCATAGTGAGAAAAGGAGTGAGGAAAAAACAACTTGCACTCTCTTCCCGCCGCTCCTTTGAAAAATATATATGGTTAGCAAATCAGTCTGTAATTTTTTGTTTAAGGGAGCTCTGGATTATTTAAGTGATAAAATTGATTTAAAAGAGTGGATATAATTTAGGATAGACTGTAGGATCAGTTTTGTATTTTTTAATTAATTTTTCTTTTCCTTAGTATTAGTTCAGAAGCAGGCCTAGAAATTGATAGCCAGCAGGAAGAAGAGCCGGTTCAAGCATCTGATGAGTCAGATCTCCCCTCCACCAGCCAGGATCCTCCTTCTAGCTCATCTGTAGGTGAGTCCCTGCCCTTGAGCGCAATACAGCTTTTATACATCAAACTTGTTTGTGAAAACACTGCTTTATTAGTAACAAATTAATAATCATTTTTTCCTTTATTTTAAAATGCTTTATTTAAAAGAGAAATTTTATTATTAAAGGGAACTTGATTTATATTGAAATCATTATTCTAAGAATATTCTGGCATCGATAATAAGAAATATGGACATGGTGGATCTATCCCAAAAGAATAGCTCACTCATGTTTCATCTAGACTAATGATTGTCAACATGTTTTGTAGAGCTCTTGGGTCTTTTAGAGGTGCTACAGGGGTTGTAGTGGGTGGGTATACTGGGAGGGAGGCTAAGGAGTGCTAGGGCACTCCAGGCCTCTTGACTCTGAACCACAACAGCTCCATTTTTATTTGTTCTACATATTGGGGTTCTACATGAGATTTGATGTGGAGAGTTAAGGGGTAAGAGCTCTGTTGCTTAAAAAAATTGTTTGAAATTTACTGATGTAAACAGTTTCAGAGTTTGGCTTTTCAAATTTTTGAAGTTAATTTTGAAAAAAGGATATGTATTCCTATAATAGAAGTTATTTTTTAGAATAACAGTTAGCATTTACTGAACACTTAACTGTGTATCATGCAGTATTCTGAGCCCTTTACTTATATTTACTTATTTGATTCTCACAACTCAATGTGGTAGATATTCATCCACATTTTATAGATGTGGAAGCTGAGGCACAGAAAGGGTGAATAACCTCTTCAAAGTCAAATAGCTAATAAGTAATGGACAAGCAACGATTACGCTGAAGAAGTCTGGCTCCAGAGACTCCACTCTTAAACAATACAGTGTACTAGCTCATCTATCTCAAATTTTTAGACAGAGAATTACCTTTATTATTAAGGATATACAGTACTTGGTCATTCAGTCTGATTATTTTAATTTTTAATTGCTTACAGTGGTAATTCTTAAACTCTGCCATGGAACCTTCAGATTTTAGGGCAGACCTGCTCAGTTATTTATTACTTTTTTAAATCACAGAACTTTGCTATCCCAAGATCTCTTCCCCTGCTTCTCAGCTGCTTTGATGTGACACATCAACCTATTGGCTAACATCCCTAATATCTACCGTTTCATATCTGGTAACTTTACATTTCTATACGTTATGCAATATGGATACTCATAACTAATCTTGCAATCAGGATTTAAAATAATGTATGTAAAATACAGAACCATTTCATACACAGTAAAGCTCAAAAAATTTATAACTATCATATTCATGATTACTGAGGTTTTGTGCCCCCAGTTATATTTTGATGTCCCATAAAAATTGGCTTTCCTCAACACAATTGGCACTTGTTATATCTTATCAGAGCTTGTATGAGAAAAAATGGTGGTTGTTCCCTTTAAAGTATAATATGAAATTACAATGTCTTTAAATTTATTTGATAATGTAAAACTGGACCTCCCCCATCTGAGTATTTGGTCAACAATACTCATGCTACATTGTCAACAAATATTTGACAATGCAGCAGGCAGTCTCATAGGAAGCATCATAGGAAGCATCACTAAGAGAAGGCGACATTTAAGTGAAGATGTGAAAGAAGAAAGGGATCAAAGCTGTGCAGTTACTTAATGAAGAGCATACTAGATCAAAGAAAATATTAATAGATGCCAAGTCCATAAGGCAGCAGTGTGTCTGCTTGTTCAGGGTCAACAAGGAGGCCACTGTGGCTGAAGCACAGTGAGTGAGAACAGAGACTAGCAGGAGATATGTTAGAGGCGGGAGAAGATAGAGTAGATCATTGTAATTGCCTTGGCTGTCATGGATACTGGAAGCTACTGGAGGGCTTCACACAGAATAATGACATGACATGATCTCATCAGTTTGGCTGCTGTGTACTGAAGAGATTGAAAATGAATAATGGACAGAAACAAGGAGAAACTTTGGAGGCTACTGCAGTAATTCAGGAAAAGATAGTGATGGCTTAGGTGAGATGGTAGAGTTAGGGTTGTGAGAAGTTGTCAGATTTGGGACATATATTTAAATTTGACCATTCAGGATTTGCTAATGATTGCATTTGGGGTGTCTGACAAAGAAGAATCAGATATAATTTGTGTTCTATTGTAGGCGGTTTGCTGAGGGACTTGATATTTTGTTTTCTGTTGTATTTCTTAGCACCTGGTACTATGTTTGATACATGGGTAGTCAACAAGTAAATATTTATTAATATAAGTGAATAAATGAAAAAAGTCAAACACTTCTGGGTTTTTTTTTTGTTGTTGTTGTTTTTGAGACAGGGCCTTGGTCTGCCTGGTTTTTTGGGGTTTTTTTGAGGCAGGATCTCACCTGTCTCCCAGGCTGGAGTACAGTTAGCTTGATCATGGCTCACTGCAGCCTCAACCTCACCCGGGCTCAAGTGATCCTCTAGCCTCAGCCTCCTGAGTAACTGGGACTGTAGGCATGTTCCACCATGCCCAGCAAATTCTTTTATAATTTTGTAGAAACAGGGTCTCGCTGTGTTGCCCAGGCTGGTCTCAAACTCCTGAGCTCATGATCCTCCCACCTTAGCCTCCCAAAGTACTGCTTTTTTTGTTGTTCAACCATTTACCCTTTTTTGGTTTGTTAAATGTTCCTCATTGTTTGAAAAAAAGAATTGAAAACAAATGGACAAGTCTGCATCTTATTCATTCTTTTAGTAATTAGTTTGTATCATTATAAATGCTTTCTCATTTTTTCACTTGCTTTTGTTTTATCTTAATGTTTTTTGTAGATACAAGTAGTAGTCAACCAAAGCCTTTCAGACGAGTAAGACTTCAGACAACATTGAGACAAGGTGTCCGTGGCCGTCAGTTTAACAGACAGAGAGGTGAATTTCTGACATAACTGGATTACATGATAGAACGTGGAATAGTAATAAATGGAACAAGTTTTCTAATCCTTAAGCCTCCAATTTATTTTTTTTAATGTTCCAAAGTTTTATTAAATAATTACATGTTGAACAGGTGATATTTACCAATCTGTAAACTTCATGTAGACAGATTTGTATACCTTGGGTATACAGTAAATATATGCTTATATTTTATATTTATTGATTTCTTCCTTAAATCCAAATTAAGATTTGGAAAATATGAAGTGTTATGGTGTTATATTCATTTGTTGTATCTCTACATCTCTACCTATTGCCATTATATTGTTATTTTTTTTATACAATGGATAAAGCTTTGTGATTATGTTTTAGCTAGTAAAAGTGTAAAATTTTAATATTTCCATGTCTTCCAATATAACTTTTAGATTGTACTTATGTCACAAAAATATTAATATGCTTGTAATAATTTCCATTGAAGTTGTAGAATACCCAACAGTTTTATATCCATAATGCCTAGATATTTTTTATAATGAAGTAGAGTAAGTGAATACATGAGTTTTGAATTCTTAAAAGATATATTCAATTTGATTCTTTTTTTTTTTTTTTCTTTTACAGGTGTGAGCCATGCAATGGGAGGGAGAGGAGGAATAAATAGAGGAAATATTAATTAATTGGTCTGTAAACAATAACAACTGTGAATAAGATTTTCAAATCTGTTTTAGTGTAATGATTGTCAAGTTTAAAAACATTTTTATATATAAACTGGTATACTCATGTCAATATTCTTTATTAATAAAATGTTTTTCAGTGTCAAAATGTATTATTCTTTTCTTCATTAGTTGACTCCTCCTTTGCTCATCAGTCTAAGGACAGTTGTACCAGACTTTGGATAAGGTCTGCCCAGAACGAGTAGTAATTGCTCTTGCTGTTCTACTAGGCACATCAATGTTATAGTATTGATCTAAATGGAAGAGAAAACATTTTTTTAGTTAAAAGAAAACAATGCCCAAACTAAAAAATAACTTATATTGACTATTATGCTCAAAGACAATGTTTATCATTTTAATAGAGATGTTTTTACTAATTAATTTGAACTTTATAACAGAAAGAAAAACAATTGCCTAGACTTTCCAACCTTTCAGCTTTTTTAATGTTTCAGAAGATTGACATTTCACCATCTTTTTGTAAAATCAGATTCAACTCTCGTTTATGAAATAAGCATTAAAGAGTAACCAAGTTTGAAAAATAATTTACTTGGGTTCTTTTTAAAAAATACATGCGAGTGTCATTCATATTATGGAATTACAGGCAAAATAACTTAGATTTCTGGGCATTTCAAAGAAAAGCATCCTGAGTAACACAATTTAATTGATAAAGTTAGTTTCTCAGGCACTTCTTTTCTGATCTTACAGACTGCAATGATGCAAATCAGTATAACCTTGTGCCAAACAAGGTATCTGTTAAATGCCACAAATGATAGAAGTAAAATATTATCGTCAGTAGCAATTTTACTCTAGTAATTGGATGTTTTATCGTAATCTCATAAAGGTTAGAGCAGAATTGAATTGCAGTGCCATTCATTTTAATTGAAATTAAAGCAAAAGTCTTAACTCTTTTCCACAGCAATTAGAATTAAGTATCATAGTGTAACTTCTCACATTCAGTCATCATTGCAGCCAGCATTTTTACTTTATCTTCATTATTTTCACAAATGATATCACCTCCTTGGGAAACTATTAGTTAACAACTTACCTTTAGAAAAGGCATAGTAATCATAGCCATCAGGTGTTCTAATGTTGGGCAGTGATACAGCTGAGGTAACCACATTTGGAAGTCCTCTCCACAGTGTACTCACTTTAACTTCATTATGAAGGAAACCTGTAGATGACATGTTTAATAATAAAGATACCAGATTAAAAGGCAATGTACTATCTTGGGAAGAGCCAGACAGATCTGAGTTTTAATCTCAGTTTTTGCCCTCTGATGTAGAACTATTGAAGGTTATAGATTGGTATATAAAAATAGTTCTTGGTAAGAAGTACTTGATAAATAGTATTGGTTATAACTGACAAACCTGAACAAACTGCTTTCCTTACCCACAAGGAAAAAGAAAGTATTGGTCTTTGGTTATTCACTAAGGCAAGTGGATGAGTTTTTCATCAGTAAGCTTAAATTATTAGGGCTGTTTGATCAGTATCTATATTTCATAAGCCTTACTGTATAAGAAACTGTATCACATCTACTTATGTTTAAGGATTTTTTTAACAGAATAAAAATGTTACCTTTGTCTTGATAAGCCAGTCTGACGGGTGAATAGTGAATTCTGATGGTGTGTGTTAGAGAAGGTCCTATAGCACGTTCAAAGCGACGTCTCCTAACCTGTGTCGTTTCTCCATACACTGGATAATTTAGAGCAGGCCTTCTTCCAGGGCACTTCTGTACAGGTTCCTGTTTATAAATATACTGCTGAATACTGCCACCTGTTATGTGTTAGAATATCACATGGAAAATGAAAATTTTAATCCCCTCAGAAAAGATGGAAAGCAACTTTTACAATGTGTAGGAAAAAATTTTGTTTCATTTTTCATATAATATGTCGATATTAATGGCTGTTAGTCAAGGGTATTGTAAATTATTAAACCCTGAAATACTTGTTGAATGAATAGATGCAGCCAATTACATGGTTATATATTTAATTTCAATTGAAAGTGACAAGTGCTCACGTTGGCAGCACATATACTAAAATTGGAATGATACAGAGATTAGCATGGCCCCTGTGCAAGGATGACATGCACATTTGTGAAGCAAAAGTAAAACATTCTATCAGTGACCTGAAAACTCAAATGAATTGTGATTTGCCTGTGAAGAAATCTAAGTAAAAATTGAGGACAACAAGAATACTACCCTCAATTTTGATTTTTGTCACTGAAAATATTTGATTCCAGCCATTAAAGATATCTTTTAACAGTAAACTCAATAATAAAATGCTGAGTGTAATTCTTTAAAAGTTTTGTAATCTTGTCAGTTATGTAGCACATACCTCTCTTGAAAAAATACACAGATTCAGGCCGGTTCTTGTATTTAGCTATTGAAAGCGCTGCCACTATTTGTCCAGTTAGTCCTCCAAATCCTTTGACAATTGGTTTGGGATACCCTGCATCTTTTATATCATTGGTAAAACGCCAGTACTGAGAATCCTGATAATTTAAAAGAGAAAATTATGTTACCAGCTTTGGGAAAAAAGATTAGGAACTCATTTCTAGATTTAAGTATAGAGAGAACATGTTAACTTAGTTGAATGGTTGAATTTTGACCATTAATGTTATCAAACTTGCTTATGATTAAATTTTGATGATAGTTTAAAGTGCGGACACTTATATTGGAGGTTAAGGTGATATATGTTGTAATAAACAATGCATTTACAAATTATAATTAAATTTCTCTCACAAAGATAATTGTGTTACCTTAAAGAAGAAAGTTTTTCCTTCACAGTTGCACCTAGTAAAAACAGTATCAATGGGGGAAGGAATACCCCAGACTTCAGTAATTCTGCGAGCTGGAGATGGTGGACTGAATGGACTTAGCATCCAGAAATAATGACCTAAAATTTAAGGAAAAACATCAGCCTACAAGCTGAATGCTAAACCTATCACAAAAGAAACCAAAATGGAAAAAAAAACAAAAAAAATGTAGTTTTCTTATGCATTGTATGACTGGAAGTTTAGTCAGATCCAAAAGGTAGTGTTTGAACATTTCTGAGAGCAGGTATTTCCCAAGTCCGAAATTTAGCATAACCTTCGAGATATTTTAGTTTTCTAGTTTCTTTAGAACGAGCTATTGGTTGGGCCAGGTGCAGTGGCTCACACCTGTAATCCAGCACTTTGGGAGGTCCAGGTGGGTAAATGGCTGGGCCCAGGAGTTTGAGACCAGTGTGGGCACCGTGACAAAACCCTGTCTTCACAAAAAAAAAATACAAGAATTAGCCAGGTATGGTGGCGCATACCTGTAGTCCCAGCTACTCAGGTGGCTGAGACGGGAGGATCGCTTGGGCCCAGGAGATTGAGCTGTGATTGTGCCACTCTACTCCAGCCTGGGTGACAGAGGGAGACCCTGTCTCAAGAAAGCCTTTCGACTTTGTGACTTACTATCTCTTTAGTTCTCAATTTCTTTATCTCTTAGAACTAAGGAATTATAATTTAATGGCTAACATCTCTTTAGCCTCTACTATACAAAAAGGAATTATTTTCACATTTAATCTAAATATGTGTTAAGACTGACTAGCAGAGAGTACAGCAGAGAATTAACATGAAATAACTTTTCTTCTGTTACCCTCCGACAGAGTGTAACACTTGAACACATCACAATTGAGATGTTATTTTCAAATAAAGCAGCGAATATGCATGCTGATGTCATTTCATTTGGTATGAAATTAAAATTTTAACAACCGCCCAAAAGAAAAAAATTGAACTACCTTTTAAATCTTAACAGTAGGAAAAAAACCTCAGTAGTATCAGTTCAGGGTCTTGATTTTGTTTTGTTACTTTGTCTAATTTTCTTAATCCAATATTTCCATTATTACTCTCAGATTCTCCTGTGAGGTAAGTTTATCAATCAGATTCCCCTCCAGAAAACAATCCAAACTAGCACTCTTCCATGACTTTGGTTCTCATATATGCCGAAACAGAATGATGAGAAGAAAAATAAACGTGTACATAGCTCACCTCGGAATGCAACTAATGTCCCATTGCGCAAAGTAGTCAGTCCATCTACTGGCCTACCATTGCATATATCGGTCTCATCTAAACAAATTAACAAAAACAAAACAAATATAGAACAAAATGAGAAAAGTATGTATGTTTTTTCAAGTCTTTCCACAGGGTTCTATTTCCTGTTTACCTTTTCTAAGATCTTGAAGAACAGAGTTTGACGCCTTTGCATAGTTATATACTTGATAATTCCATTTTACTTAAAGATGCTACTCTTCAAAAGTATTACATGAAATAAATTATGATGAATTGGAATGGGCCAGGTTACCTAGATTTTCATGTAAACTAGACATTTATTGGATGTATGAACTCAATGTGAAATTGCATCTTTCAGTTCTGATTGCCCTCCCTTTGGGTTAGTTTGGAAAATGATACTACACATTTTTGCTTTGCATTGTACTTTTAAGAATAGACTCCCAACTAAATTTTTTTGACATTCGATGTACCATCTCTGGCTCACAGACACACACATGCTAAATTCCCAACCCTAAAGTATTAATTTCCTAAAGAATGAATAAGCTTACTATACGCCTCTGCTTACCTACAGGGAAGCTGTAAAACTTCACAAGTTAATCAGGTCAGGTAATACATCTCAGTCGAGTGATACTAAACTAAGGCATTCTGGTTCATATAGATGTAAACTAACATTACCAGCTTTAAAAATGAAAATAACTGATTCTTAATACCGGAAAGCATGGGGTTGATGATAATGCCTTGATTGGGTACTCTCAGTGAGTAATCCATGCCGGGAATAACTATAGGCGTGAACACATGGGGCCTGGGAAGCATGTGAGGTGTTTCTCCTTCAGCACCACCTGCATCTTCATTCTTTGGATTTACTTCAAATAGTTTGGAGTTTGGAGTTTGGTTAGGTCTGGTGGTGGTTTGGAGCATGGCTTCTGCTACTCTTGAGGTAGGGTTCAATTCTGGCATTGTTGATGTCACCTTGGAGGGAGTTGGTGTCGTCTTTGGTTTTCTCACTCTAGGTGTTGTTTTTGGCTTTTTGGTAGAAGTGGGCTTTTTGGTAGAAGTGGGCTTTTTGGTAGAAGTGGGCTTTTTGGGTGCTTTGGTTGGCTTTTGAGGTTTAGCAGTTGTCGCTTTAGAATTAGTAGCTCTATCTTTTGGTTTAGCTGTTTCTTCAGGTTTGTTCATGATCTCAGTTGTAGTAATTGTCTTTTTTGTTGTAGTAGTTACTTTGGGTGCAAGAGTAGTTGTTTTAAAAGTAGTAATTTTGAATGGTGTGGTATCTTGAGTAGTGGTAGATGTTACTTCTGTGGTTGTAGTTGTTATTTTGGATTCGGTAGTTTTTTCTGTTGTAGTTGCTGTCTCTTTTGTCATCTTAGGTGCAACAGTTGTAGTTTCAGGTGTAGTACGTATGTCTCTTTCTGTTATCTTGTCTTTAGCTATTGTAGTCATTTCAGATTTAGTCACTGCAGGAGTCTTAGTTGTAGGTACACTGGGTTTCTTGGGACTGTTTTCAAGAACCTTTGGTGTGGGTTCTGCAGAAAGCTCAGGAGTTGATTCATCAGGGCTTTTGTGGCTAGTGGGAGGCTCCATGGTGGTAGTTGGAGTAGAGGCCTCTGAAGTGGTTGCAGGAGGTGTCTCAGGAGTAGTTGGAGCAGGCTTCTTGGGGGTAGTGGGTGCAGGCTCCTTAGGGGTAGTTGGAGCAGGCTTGTCAGAGGTGGTGGGTGTGGGCTCCTTGGTGGTGGTGGGTGCAAGCTCCTTGGGGGCAGGCTGCTTGGGAGTAGTGGGTGCAGGTTCATTGAGGGTAGTTGGAGCAGTCCCCTTAGGGGTAGTTGGAGCAGGCTCCTTAGGGGTGGTTGGAGCAGTTTTTGGAGCAGGCTCCTTAGGGGTGGTGGGAGCTGGTGCCTTGGGAGTAGTGGGAGCAGGTTCCTCAGGGGTGGTGGGAGCAGGTTCCTCAGGGGTGGTGGGAGCGAGTTCCGCAGGGATGGTGGGTGTGGGCTCCTCAGGGGTGGTGGGTGTGAGCTCCTCAGGGATGGTGGGTACGAGCTCCTCAGGGATGGTGGGTGTGAGCTCCTTGGGAGTAGTGGGTGCAGGTTTCTTGGTGGTGGTGGGTGTGAGCTCCTTGGGAGTGGTGGGTGCAGGCTCCTTGGGGGTGGTGGGTGCAGGCTTTTTAGTGGTGGTGGGTGCAGGCTCCTTGGGGGTGGTTGGGCCAGGCTCCTTGGGAGTAGTGGGTGCAGGCTTCTTGGTGGTGATGGGTGCAGGCTTCTTGGGAGTGGTGGGTGCAGGCTCCTTGGGGGGAGTTGGGGCAGGCTCCTTGGGAGTGGTGGGTGCAGGCTCCTTGGGGGGAGTTGGGGCAGGCTCCTTGGGAGTGGTGGGTGCAGGCTCCTTGGGGATGGTGGGTGCTGGCTCCTTAGTGGTGGTGGGTGCAGGCTCCTTGGGAGTGGTGGGTGCAGGCTTCTTGGTGGTAGTTGGGGCAGGCTCCTTGGGAGTAGTGGGTGCAGACTTGGTGGTGGTGGGTGCAGGCTCTTTGGGAGTGGTAGATGCAGGCTCCTTGGGAGTGGTGGGTGTAGGCTCCTTGGGGGTGGTAAGAGCAGGGCCTTTAGTTGTAGTTTCAGCTTTGGGTGTAGGTTTAGCCGGCACTTTAGATGTAGGTGCTAAATCTTTAGCTGATGTTTTCTCGACACTTTGTGTCTCTTTAGCTGAAGTAGTCTCTTTTCCATCAGTTGAAGTCTGTTTATTTGTTGTAGTAGGTTCTTTAGTTTCAACTGTTGTCTCTTTATTCGTTGTCAAAGATATCTGTTTAGATGTATCAGAATTAGGTGGAAGACTGGGTCTGGGATTTTTTGGTTTTGCTGTTGTGATCTTGGGAGATGTGGTGACTTTATTGTGTTGGGTGGTAGACGTGGCAGGAGTTGTGGTGACCTTGAAGTCACCATTGTCCAATCCACTTCCAGCTTCATCTACAACTGGTGGTTTGGGAGTAGGTTTCTTTTTAGTTCTGTTCTTCTTGTTATCTTTTCCTGGAGAAAAAACACATCTTGTTATTTTAGAATTTTTTTTCTTTAATAGTGAGGTAAAGATCCCACTTTTATCATTGACTAGTTGTGTGTTTCTAAGCAAATTGCTAACATCTACTATGTCCTTTAATTTGTTGTAAAATGGTAAATACTCAACCTATCTTATTGAGTTGTTTAGGGAATGAATGAGATGAGGGATGAGAAAGCACAAATTAAACTCCATACAATTAATACATGTAAGCCAGTGGCAACTTTGAAATCAGCAACACAACAAATAACACTAATTCATCTGTTTATATTAATGTTCTTTACCCCCCACTTTTCTAGTCTTATTCTTCAGTGCCCAGTGTCCCTTCCTTCCTCCTGGAAACCTAGTACTACCATCTTGCTGCAACAATTATCTCAGAGGCCTCTACAGCTACCTCTGAGCAGTCTGCCCCAGTCACCCGCACAGTCCCTGCTTGAGGCTTGTTCCCATACCTAGGGCTATTAGCCACTCCTTTTCTTCTGCGCAGCTAAACTTGCAAGTCCCAGGGGACATAAGTAGGAGATTAGGGTGCCATGGCAGCAAAAAGACAGTATTTATCAAGGCTTTCCCATAGCAGCTACCCCACAGGTGAACTACAATTCCCAAGGGTGGCTTTGTGCATGATTTTCTGGGTGACTAAAAGATTAAATATCTGGCTATTTATCTAGAGAGAATGCTTCGGAGGAAATCACAACCACTTAGAGTTCTTTAAAACTCCCTTATCCAAAAATTCAGTATTTCCTGGAGAAAGAGAATATATTTTAGAACCAGACCTTCAGGAAATAATAAACAGCAAAGGAAATCTCTTTTCAGGCAATAATAGCCTACTCTGTAGCACAGTCTCTACTAGAGAAAAATCAGCCAGATATATAAGTTACTAGGAAAATAAAGAGGATTTGTAAAATATGGATAACATTTTTTCCATAGAAGTTTGTAAGAATTTAATGAATTAATACTTGTAAAACACTTAGAACAATAGTATATAAATGTTTGTTAAAATAAAGCTGGGGAAGGGAAAATGAAGATGCAAGGAAGATGAAGGGGAAGAAGCAAAATGATATCAAGTAAATAAGAGTGACAATAGAACGCCATAAATAATCATCTCTGGTGCCATCCTGTGGTTCCACAGTCACTGCTACAGCATCTTCTTATCCTTTGCTTTTAGAGTGGCTTCTGAGATGCTTGGCACTAATTTCCTGTAGTAAGTATTCATTTGATACTTTCTAAGATAATAGTTTTAAAGTTATATTCCCCCACCCCATATTGAGATGTCTTCATTCTACCAACACGCACTACTTTTAAATATAATCATTGTTAATATGGCATTGATATAGTCTTTGATCTTTATCAATGCTCAAACCTTTGAGTTTCTTCTGTAATTCTCTATTAGCAGCTGAATTTTTGGAAGACTTGATTTTCCGAATTGTTGAAGAAGAAGAGGAAGAGGAGGAGGAGGAGGAGGACTCTTGATTTTCAGAAACAGAATGTTCTATAAATCAAATAGAAAGTTTGATCACACCAACTTGATTTAAAACAAAAAAGAACTGACAGTCTAAATAGAGCAAGAAGTGCTATTTACTAATCTACAAGTATCTGGATTTTGCTTTTATTAGTAATATGACCAACTGCCTTTCAACTGTCAGTTAAAAGCAAGGCACCTGGGCTTATCACAGATACTAGCAGTATTACTAGTATCTCTCAACTTTCCCATATCCTCCAAAACACAGAATCAAATTATTCTGCAAAGAAACTCATGGGATGGTTTTTGTTTTTTACAGTAAGATGTGTCCCTTCTGATTTGTTTTAACCCAGACTCATGCTGGGTTTGGTAAATACAGAAAGACCTGAGAGTTTATACTTTGTCTTAAACTTTACTTAAAAGCAAAGTCTAAAACCTTCAAGTGTAATGAGCCTCATGATTCCTAAGATTACCCTGTTCTCTGAGAATGGGCTTAGATAAGCAGTCACCTACAAGTTATTTCATCTAAGAAAGCTCCTTTGATTATATCTGTCATCTTCCTACCTTCTGTTATTTCCTCTGATTCTACAACTTTCTTAGTCTTCTTCTTGTTTGGTGGTTTGGGTGAACGTTTGGTTGTTGATTTGATGGTTTGAGATGCTCCTGAAGGTGGAGGTGCTTTCTTTGCAGATGGTGGTGATGTGGGATTATGCACTGAGGCCAAGCAAGACAAGTCAGTTAACATCTTGTTTTCATCAGCAGCTCTAACTGTGAAAAGCACAGATGCATCTAGCTTCAAGAGTAGATGCTGGTGACAGCCAGTGCAGGCAGGCTCCAGCCCAACACGAATGACTCCATTTTATTCTAAGGATGCATTGCTATAAAATATTAGTTCTCAGATTGTTGTAAGTTATGACAGGGAACAAAGTCTCAGGAATCAGAAGACCTGAATTCCAGTCCTAGACCTACGAGCCTCTACCATTGTGACCTTAGGCAAATAATTCTCTTGAACTTCATCTTCCTGTCTACAAACTAAGATGTTTATTCAAGATGATTTCTAAAAGTCTTTGCCTTCAGAATTTTTTTTCTGTTTTAGTATTCGTTTTTTGTTTTAATATTCATTTAAATTAAATGATACCAATTTGCCCTTTGTTTTTTTAATTACAAAAGTTCCAAATGAATATTCTTGTGAAAAGTTCACACCTTCACATTATGCTTTTCCTCAAATGTGCTTCCCTTCCCAAAGATACAACTGTTAATGGTTTGGAGTGTATCTTTTTAACCTTTTAGTCCCCTTCCCTCTTCTGCTTCTCAGTCTAGAAGAGAAAACACGGAACTTTTAATTTTTTTTTTTAATCATTAGGAACAAGAGGGACTAATGAAGGATACAAAAACAGAGAGTATTGGGGACTCTCTGGGTACAGAAGAGTTGTGATAAATTGTGCTGCTCCCAGCAACATCGCCCCAGAACCCTATTGCTATAGTCTCCATGAACTGGCCACTGCCCCTCTCATTTCTCTTGCCACCCAACAAAAATGTCAAGTATCTCAATTTGAGAAACAGATCTGCCATGTACTAGCTCGTGCTCTTGGCCAGAATGGTTAATCTCTTGAACTCTGTTTTCTCTCTCCCATTCGGAGACACTTGGATGGCTGGGATTCCTTCAATTCTTGAAATGTTATGATTTTTAGATGTATAGACACCTGTAAGTGGTATCTATACTGAAACAACTAGGTGGTGAATCTCAAGATAGTTGGGTTATTATACTTAAACAATAAAGTATTGAGATTCTGAGTGGTTTTATTATTTTAAGTTGGGACCCTGACTATCTTATGAATTCTGTAAAGAAAGTTGGCCAGCATTTCCTTCATCTTTTTTTTCACTGAGTTCTACCTAATCTTTAAGTAAGCTGACCAAACATTTCTTAGCATAAAGTATTATCTTTATCAAAATGTTCTCTCAATGTCTCATCACTTTCTAATCATCTTCCCTCCCTACACATCCTCTGCCCAAAACAAATTCTTAGCTTTCTTGTCTCACAGCCAAAACAATTAGGGTAATGAGTAAATATGTGTCACTCATCATGGGACCTGCTAAAAGCTGCAGGAAGGGTGAGCTCTGAGTTTTTTATTACAAGGGTGTTGTCTTCATTATTTTTGGAATGTTTTCCCATGAAAACATTGAACGGCTAAGAAACATCTCTCAACTCTGCTGATTAACAGTTTTCCACTCTGTTTCTTCACTGTTCTAAACAAGCAGGAGGTGAAGGCTTGTTTAAATAAAATGATAAGATTGATTATGCAAGCAAAGCTTGTCTTCACCTCCACAAATATTCTTGTTTTTACAAAGTTTTATTTAAGAACAACCATTTGGTAAAGGAAAGTAATTCAGTATTTAAGTATGTTTTTAAAATCTTTTTCTATAAAATCTGGAGCCTTTTGTTATATTCTAGAGTAGTCCTTCAAGACCTATAAATAGAGAAGATGATTTTAAGATGGGAATATCGCTTGTTATTGACTTTACCATGCACATGTATTGGAATAGAGACTGCTGAAGAGACTGCAGAAATGGGAAGGAACATGACAGTTAACAACGTGTTACGTAGATTTGCCTGTAAATTTAATGGCTTAAACTAATTCATAAATTTACTTGTTTAGGGAAGCTGAAAGTGTTGCTTGTGTCCTTAAACATATACTCAAACACTGAGGCCAAAAGCACAGATAGCTCAAAGGATAGTTGACTTTGTGAAGTCAGCAAGGGTGAGACAAGAAATCATCAAGTGAGTTGTTTACTGTTGATTTAACCTGAAATTGAACCATATCTGAAGAAAAAAAAGACATGTGCATTCAGCCTCATCCTCTGTCTTTCCCCTCTAGCAACATCTTGTGCTCCTGGAGCCTGGCTGAGCCTGGGGGTGCTGCTGTTGCAAGGCGCTTTTCTTCTTTAATTAATCTCCACAACACAAAATTGTTATGAAATAGCTTATATGTTAGTAGAATCAAGGCATGAGATGGACTGCATGTTAGACATTAGCAGTGATGCTAAGGTCGGTGCACAGATCTGCCTGTACTGAGAAGCATTGATTGGTACTGTGATGCTTACCTTCTGCACAGAAACTCTCATAATCAGGACAGCACTTGTCATACTTCTTACATTGGGCGTCGCAGTCACACTCCCTCCCTCTCTCGAAGGACTCAAAGCAGCGGCCTTTACAGGAAAGCTCTACCCAGAGCAAAACAAGAAGTTACAGGTTATTAATTGCGAAGCCAGGCCCGTGTATTTGACAGCCATTTCCCACCTTAGACTCGACTAGGTTTCCAAAAGTTCATTTCTAAGTCTTTTATTTAAAATTTGAAGTACATCATCCAGGAAAAATTAGATAGTATCCCAGATGGAGACAGCCCAAGTCAAAAAAGAAATATGGTGACTGAGGGCCACTCTTCTTGCCGTTCAAGACGTCCTGATGCTGCCTAAGTTATTCACATGTATGAACAATGAAAAATCGGGAAATGTCTAAATAGTGAGGTACACTTAATATGAAATCTCTTCATCCTTCTCCTCTTCACACACTGCTTTGTAATAGATTCACAGTAATTGAATGTACAGATCTCAGCAATATATTCCATATAAATATATATCTGTATATATATATATATTCCTATAAATGGGCCACTTTTGAGGCTTAAAAATCATTTGTAATGCAGAGACCCTTATTATGACAAACTGAGAAACGTGTATAGTTGAAAGCTTTCAGCCTAATCTTATAGTGTGGACTATGTTAGGGAGGACTACTCATTTAAAACAGGAAAATTTAAAAAACCTTGGTTAGAGGTACCAGGACTTACCAAGGCCTATTTGAAATAATTACCCACCCAATACATAAATTGTGCAATGTACTCCTCACCTTCACATTCAAATTCTAAAGCAAATATACCTTTCAAATAATTTTAATTATAATTTTCTTAAATTGAATAGAAAATGTTTCTGTGTTAATAACAAAATGGTCCAAAATATATTCAAGTGAAACACTACTCACAATTTAAAATTCAGACCTTCGAGTTTAACTGAAATTCATCATTAAACACTAGCACTTTATCTTTAAAGTGCCTTTTCCAGGTAATTTAGAAATATATTAACATCAAAAAGTCAAATAATAGACAAGATTATTCCACGCTCATGTATTCTTTTGACGAAACTATTGAAAGACCTCATCACTAGTCGAGGACATCTCTGATTGTAAATAATTACTCCTTACTATATACTTAATGACTGCTGACTCACCGTATCTTCTCTGTTTAAAATAAGACATTTTACTTGGAACTAGTCAATAACCTTGTGCAAGTGACAGATTTCCAGGCTCCCCTTACCCTCCCCAGTAATCACAAGCTTTGACACCATCCTTAGGTACAACGCGCTGCAACATTTATGCAAGTGAAGGAAAAGGCACTTAAGCAAAGGAAGTGATACAGTGGGAAAACATCACTGCAAGTGGGTGCAAGGGGAGGCTCAGTCTCACAGACAGCACTGCACGAGGGTGCAAGGGGGCACTCACAGACTCACAGAGCTGCTTAACAGAGGAGACACTTGCTCTCAGGACTTACCCACAGTGCAGACTCTCTTGAAATCAGGGCAGCACTCCATGTAGTGTTGACAGTTATAATCACAGTTGCAGGTGGCATCTCTAGAATACCCTTCCCCACATCTCCCTGCACAGCTTGATAAATCTAAAATTATACAATACTGGCGTAAATATGGCCAAACCACTTTATAGAAAGGGAGCAATCTAATGAGGGGGACGAAGCTGCTTGGTGAGAGAGAATTTTATTGACCGAGAAGGTGTTGGAATGATGTTAGCAATAGGCCCAGCTGATATTTGGCTGATGTCTTAGGTGATCTCAGTTATGTCACTTTATTCTTCACTAGATTGAGATAAAAAATACACTTTTGAAAAGCAGGCAAAGTAATGGCTTTGCCTGAAGAGGGTGATATTCCTAAGGGAGAGGTGGCAGCTACAGCTACTACCGATGCTGTGGCTATGATGATTAGCAGTTGACATTTATTGAGCTTCTCTATGCCAGGTACTGAGTCATACATTATCTCTAATGCTTATGAAAATGTTTCCAGGATTTAATAGCCCTTTTTTAGAGATAAGAAAGCTGAAACACAGAAATTTTGACAACTTGCTCATTATCACACGGCTAGTTAATAGTTCCAGTGTATCTGCATCGTAGACTAATTAATACCTTCCAATTATTTGCAGTGAACTCTTTTACTCTTATAATTGTCCTAATTTAGATAATACATTTTATGGTCACCTTAAGTAAACAATCCATCCAGAATTTGAACTCTGATATATCTTATTTCAAGCCTGAGATTTTTCCACCCATCGCATCGCCTCCCATTCCTGATGATAAGCTTAAAGCAAGCCGGTTGCACCAGCACAAACTTTACTGAGCTTTTTCTTTCTTAATTGGTGGGAATAACTGGATTTTTAAAATGTCAGGGAAGCCAGATGCTTAGAACCACTGCTAAAGTGAGAACACTTAAAATAACTGGGCATAACTATAAAGGTCATGAACAGAGATTCTCCAGGCAACAAATAAGCAAACAATAATAAAAGCATACTCATTCTCAAATATTTTTAAAAAGTCATTTGGAAAACACCACCTTAAAACCCTCCCTGAGAAATGACTGCAGGAATGTGACAATGGAATCCATCTCTGGAACAGAAATTGGCAGGTGCAATGTCCTAACTCCACAGAGGAATGTTGAAACACACTGAAAACAAATCTTAATAGAGTCCAGGAATGCCAAGGTCTGAATATGCAAATAAAACAGTAAATTATAGGACAACTTTCAGAACATTTTGCATACATGAATGCATAACACATACAAAAATGTATATATAGTGTATGTATATAAATACATATATTATATATAAAGAAAAAAGAGAATGAGATGAGGTTGAGAAAGCAAGAGAAGCAGACAAGACAGTATCAAGAGATTTTTTTTTTATGGTTGGCAGATTTCTGAAATAAGAAATCAACTGTAATCCTGGCACTTTGGGAGGCAGAGGCGGGCGGATCACCTGAGGTCAGGTGAGACCAGCCTGGCCAACATGGTGAAAACCCATCTTTACTAAAAATACAAAAATTAGCCAGGCATGGTGGTAGGGGCCTGTAATCCCAGCTACTCAGGAGGTTGAGATAGGAGAATCGCTTGAACCTGGTAGGTGGAGGTTACAGTCAGCCAAGATCATGCCACTGCACTCTAGCCTGGGACAAAGCAAGATCCTGTTTCAAAAAAAAAAAAAAAAAAAAAAAAAGGAAATCATCCTTACAGGAAAAGTTTGTTTTCATAGACTAGGTGTCTGTCCTACTTTTATTGCTATTAATTATAATCATTAATTTTATTTATTTATTTATTTTTGAGATAGAGTCTCACTCTGTTGCCCAGGCTGGAGTGCAGTGGAGCAAGCTCGGCTCACTGCAACCTCCACCTCCTGAATTCAAGAGATCCTCCTGCCTCAGTCTCCGAGTAGCTGGGATTACAGGCACACGCTACCACACCCGGCTGATTTTTTGTATTTTGTATAGAGACAAGATTTTGCCATGTTGCCCAGGCTGCTCTTGAGCTCCTGACCTCAGGTGATCTGTCTGCCTAGGCCTCCCAAGGTGCTGGGATTACAGGTGTGAGCCACCGCACCCAGCCCCGTTAATTTTAATTTCATTTATTTAATGAAAATTAAAATTAAAGTAGCACTGTTTTAGTGAACAACCAATTGTATTACAGAGCAAAAGGCAGTTTAGAAAGTGCCCCCAGTGTTTTGAACCTTGTCATATTGTTATGCGAAAGCCGAAGGGTCTGGAGATACTGGAGTAGTCATCGTTCTCATTGACTATTCACATTTGCTTTCATGTGTTTTCCCATCTTTTCTTATCTAAACAATTCTGCAACTTATGCCTATGCAGACAGTTACCACTCTTGTTCAGGTTTCATAAGAATCTTTGTATTTTACTGGAAATGTTTACTTTAGAAATGTAATTTCATCATAACTGTCATGAATCTGGATTTTTATTCTCTCAGCTTTTGCTTATCAAAGGGGAACAAAAGGAAAAGAAAAGAAAAATCCAAAGCTTGGCATTGTTACTCTTAATCCATCTAGATGGCATGATAGCATCTTCTACTAATGTGATTACACTGAGTGTACTTTAACATTCTCTAAAAAATGAATAACAAGAACTGTTCATCCAGGACCTATTTTAGAGGACTGTGAAAAGTTTAATGTTATAATACAAAATGACAGTCACGTCTGTATTTGTCCATACCTGGATGAATAGTTCCTGTAAGAAAAAGAGAACATTTTCAAGACTAATAAAATGCCATTTGAAACACTGTAGTTTATTATAATATGGTATCTATGCCTAAATGATGCCAAAATAAGTTATCAATAATTTATTTGATTTAAAAGACCAAATTGTTCAACATATAGGCAAAAAATATGTTATCTAAATATTGTTCTTTTTAGCTATTTTTATGATACTATATAGCTCCAGCATAAATTTATGATGAACTGTCTGCACTTTTTAAACTTTTGGGAGAACCATAGAAATAACAAGTACCAAAATTATTATTTACAGAAGCTCAAAACTCTCAAAAGGAGAAAAAGATGAGAATTCCGAAGCACTTATAAACAGGCTACATATTGTATATTATTTTAAGGTTGTATGATATATTAAACTCAGGCAAATATAAATTTTTAGAAATATATTTCTGTTGTTATAAAAATCAAGACTGAATGATTAGCAATAGTTGTTAAATAAAAGTATGTTCGATGGTTAAGCTACCTTGAGATGAAACTTGCTGAATCACGAAAACAGACAGCAGCAACAACAGGTAAATGGGAAGTGTTTTCCACGCCATGGTTGTTTTCGGGTACCATAGGTACCCTTGCTGAAAATAAAATCAAGGTATCAGAAAACCGCTCTTTCATCTCACCACTAACTTAGGCTTGCACTATACATGTTTCAGTAGTTTTAAAAATGTAACTTAATAATAAAACCATGCTATTCTTGAAACAAGACTTTAAATCAACTTTAATTCTACAGAAAATATTTGACCATTAGACTTAATTTTATGCAGAACAAATCAAGTCACCCTCAGCCATATTATTGACAGTTTTAATATTTAAGAAATCTCTAACATAGAATAGACTTATCTTAAAACTCTAGTCAAAGTATAGCATGTACTTACCAGTGCAAGGTTAAAATTTTATCTTAAGGAAAATAATAACCTGTGTCATTGAAATGTAATTTAATAAGCATCATGGAGTTACTGTTCCAACTTTTCCTTAACTCTCAATATAAATTCAGAGACTTCCAACAGGTGTATTGCATAAATATAATCCTTTTCAAAAATTTCCAACTACTATCCTTATACATTTTTTTCAAATACCTCTAATGAAAACACATTTAATTCCATGAAGCAAGTTAACTTTGACACTTACCTGTAAAGGATAGATGAGTTTATCCCATGTCCTGGAAGTCTTATATATCAGTGCAAATATAGTGGGATGAACCAATTAGTCCAAAGGTTAGACAAAATCAACAGTGACAACCTATGAAATCAAACTTTCCTCATTTATTGGAAGAGGGCCCAGACGACTAGACTTAGGCAACATCTGGAAAACACTTCCATTAAGCAAAATGACTACTACAAAATAAATTTAGATTTATTGGCCAGAGCACATTTCTAATTTCTAAGTGAAGTGAACAAATTGTCCTGAGATGGTAAATAGCTCTGGCAGGCTTCGACTAGTATATTGAAGCAGCAACTGTAAAACATTCACATACTGGTATCACTTCTTTCTTTCTTCCGTTTTCCAGTTAAATCTAGCAAAGGTGGCTTTGACATTTACCTAGTGTTAGCTTGTGGTATACATTTTATATACTTATACCATTATATCAAATGTACATTTCTTGAGTAGTTTCATTTTCTCTGAGCACAGAAAACATGCTCTCAGTTACCTGCAGGTGGATTATTGACACGGGATTTTCTAGCTTCCTTTATCATCTTAAAAACCTGCTTAAAAACCGTATTGATATTTTCCTTAGATCCCTCCTTTAAGATAAGCATGCTTGGAAAAGGTCTTTTAAATTACTAATTTTGCTTCCTTTCCACAATGAAAATGTGAACCATCACCATTGCACAGCTAAGTCAGCTCAGCCCAAGGCTTTCCCCCATTTTCATATGGAATGTATCGGTGTGAAATCTTACCCACCAACATAAGGCCTCTCTCATGTCCTAGCACCTCCCTGAAACCTTTCCAGATCAAATTCAAATCACATCTAGAATTATAGTCAACAACTGTACTACATTTTACTGAAAGTATCTGCTCATCTGTCTCATACCCCCAACAGACTATGATTTCCCCAAGGACAACCAACACATATATCTTGGTCTATTGCCAACAAACAGCCCAGTTGTTTCACCAAGTTTATATGTTTAAAACATGCTCAGGCCGGGTGCAGTGGCTCACTCCTGCAATCCCAGCACTCTGGGAGGTGGAGGTGGGTGGATCACCTGAGGTCAGGAGTTTGAGACCAGCCCGGCCAACAAGGTGAAACGCCCTCTCTACTAAAAATACAAAAAATTAGCCGGGTGTGGTGGTGGGCACCTGTAATCCCAGCTACTCGGGAGGCTGAGGCAGGAGCATCACTTGAACCTAGGAGGTGGAGGTTGCAGTGAGCTGAGATCACGCCACTGCGCTCCAGTTTGGGCGACAAGAGCAAAACTCAGTCTCAAAAAAA